GAACCCCCTGCCTGTGGAAGTGTGGTTCAATAGAGGTGCTACTACCCAAGGCATATTCGCTCAAAAGTGCAGACAACAGATCCTGATATTTGATTTGACTTCTCTTTTTTAACCCTATCCAGCCACAGGGCATCTGGTGCAAATGCCTAACTGCCGTTTTCAGATCAAATGTTAACTTGTCCAATTTAAGGTTAATTGAACACCCAGTCCAAGTCACCCTACATGACTTTTTCCTGGTTTCATTTCCTGTGGCTTAGTATTGCAGATGGTAGGAGCATTAGCCAAGTGAACTCCCTCTGTTTATATGCCTTGTCATTAGTTTAATGAGAAGCTATTGCAGTGACTCATTCCCTCTTTCACTCTAAGGCTCTTGCCCTTAAAAAACTGGCACAAAAATAAAAAAGAAAAAAGAAAAAAAAAGAAGAAAGGTGAGGATCTAATAAAAGCAAAATTGAACTATGTCTCTCTTTTTCTCCATGCTCATAATCATGGCGTGAAGACAGAACCCTCTGCTTTTACTGAAGTGCCTGACGCCCAGCAATATTTCTGTGAAAGGGGTGCCCAGGTGTTGTTTCTCCTTAGAGGGATTTCTCTGGGAGGATGGTTAGTTAGACATGAGTGCCCTGTGAGCAGGAATGGTGTGTGAGAGACAGGGAGCCATGCTTTGCTCTCCCTTTTTCCCTGGCAGGGATGACTAGCCCACAGCCCATTGCCCACCTCAGGAGGCTGGACCACAGGCAGTCTGCAGCCCTCCTGGAAATGCAGAGCAGCAAAGTGATGTGCACAGAAGCTGGTGCCAGAGCCATGACCATGATATTGGTCCTTTGCATTCTAGCCCACTCACCCCTTTGAAATTTTTGCAGAGCAAAAACTGCTTGCATGCTGCTGCCACCAGGCAAACCTCAAGGTAGATTAGCACCAGGGTCTCAGATGTCTCAGATGTAGGACTCATCTGGAGGAAGGAGCTACTCTAGTCTGTTTCATTTAGATCCACATAGTTTAGGGAGAAATATTTGTATTCTGGAATGTTCTGCCACATTTAGGACAGTTGAGCATATTTAGTGTACTCTATTTCAGAGAATCAAAGAAAGGTTGAGGCACCTCTTGAGATCACCCAGTCTAGCCCCCTGCTCAGAGATGGGCCAGCCGGAGATAGTACCCACAACTGTGTCCGGTTGAGATTTGAATATCTCCAAGGATAGGAACTCCATAGCCTTCCTGGGCAACCTAATCTTGTACTTGACCATCTTCATAGTAAGAGGTTTTTTCCTGTGTTTAAGTGGATTTTCCTGTATTTTGCGTCCATTGCCATTTGGCCTTTTAGAGGATACCACTTGCACTTACAGAAGTCCAGTATGTCTATATCCTTTCATTTGCGGGCCCAGTGTGGCTGTGCAATACCCTGGCCTTTCCTCTAAGACCTCTGCCTTTCCTCATTGAGACACAAGATATAACAGAGCTGGAGCTTTCCTTCATTTCTTCTGTCAGGAGCATTTTATTTGTCCAGCAGAAGCAGGTTCTGTTTCCAGTTTGGGTGAGTGGCTGCAAGCAGGGATGGATGTGTTTAATTGATGGTTTGAATTGGTGGAGATTTGTCTTCTGAGAAAGTATGAACTGAACTTGTAAGGAAACCCAAGGCTGCCTAGCTTCTAAACTGGGACTAAAGGCTCCAAAATATGTGAAATATATGACAAGAAAAAGCAATATGGATAGTTTCACTTGGTCCACGTCATAAGATAAAGGAGACTGAGTTGACACTAGAAAGTCTCTTCTCTTGAGGCCTTTTTGCAACAACTGTAGCAGATCTTTACATATTTGGTACCACTCAGCATCCAAGCTCTATGTCAGTTCAGATACCAGCATACAGCTTGGATTATGACCACTGCCAGCTGTAATGTCATTAGTAGGTTTTTTTCACTTGCTTTCCCCTTAGATTTCCTTGTTGCCCCAGGTGACAGCTAACTGGTAGCCTTTACATGGTATTTGTTCCACTGGGATGATGACTTTTTGTTGGGTATGATGAAGAATGTGCAGATGAAGTAGAATATTTGTCGGAGTCCGGCATCCCTACTACAAACTTCTTCCACTTATCAATGTGAATGTTCTTTCACTAGTCTAAGACAAGGGCATTAGAAACTATGTTCTCAGCATAGAATCTACCTTTGTAGCCTTATGTAGCACCACTAACCCTAATCACATAACACATGTAATAAAAGCAGTATTTCACCACACTGTTTTAAGGCCTCACTTGGTCACTTTCTAATTATTGCTGGTTTTCTGTATCTTTTCCCTTATGAGACCTTTCTGAAGTAGCTGAAAGTTAGGACTGGGCTAGCAAAAGCTACTTAAACAATGAAGAATATATATCTGAGAAAAAAAAAAAAGAAGAAGAAGAACCCCGTCCCCCGAAACAATAAAAGGTAGTAAACCAATAAAATGCCTAAACAGAGAGGCTCCCAGGAGGTCTACATCTCAACATGCTCCTTGCAGTGATACAAATATTGTCCCACAGGGCTTTGTTCTTTCAAAATGTAATAGGTTGCAAGCATGGTAACAACTCCTCCTTCCTCTCCCAGGTAAACAGTTTAACCAGGATGCTGGTTTGGTAAATAAGAAAGATGCAGGACTATTGTAGTGATAACGGCTGTATGGATCCTGTTGCCAGAGATCCCAATCTGAAATGTCTACCAGAGTATTTTTCACCTTAAACTTCTTTAGCAGGGTAGAAGGCAGCATTGCTGCTCAACATTTATAATACCATTGCTGTACTCTGTGACGGCATGCCTTGTCTACAAGGCCTTTTCTGGTTTTAATAATTGATTTTGTTTGCCAGGCTGCCTGGTGTGTGTGGCCACATAGACAGGCACTTCAGTCCAGTTGTACTGTCCTTTCTGCAACTGAACCAGCACCGAGCTTATGTGCTGCTTACTGAAACACAGGTGAAACATTGGAAATCCAATTGGCCTGTCCCCTCCATCAGCATCACCAGGTGACAGCTAGGCCAGGGAGAAGCCCTTAATACTCCATAGAGGAATGTACATGAAGAGAAAGCAAGGTAAATTCACCCAGTCCAGGACAAGGGTGGCTTTGATACCACAAGCGTGCCCATGAAAACCTGTATTTCCACAGAAGAGTTCGCAATCAATGTTTCAGAGGGGATTTACAGAAATTGGCATTTGCAGGGATTGGCTTGGGGGGAGGGAGAGGAAACATGTTTCTGTGCTACTGTTATATTCGCTGTGTGACCACACAAGTGACAATGTACTTCTTTGAAGTGCTGACATGATGTGCCAGCAATGGCAAGCCAAGTCCTACCATTGCTTCCAGCTGTTTGTGTGTTTCATATTTTCACAAAAGGATTTAAGTTTAAATGAAGGCATTGTATGGGTGAAAACAAATAAGACTATTTGAAAAGTAAGACTGAAGATATTCCAGCTGATACTGTGGTTGTCTTCCCATTCTCCTCTCCTTTGTGGCAAAGAGGTTTTCTGGCAGAAGCATTTTCTGAAGCGATTACTTTGAAGTAATACTGCACCTGGTATCAGAAAAGACTCATTTATTTTTCCTTTCCTTCTTCTCTCTTTTTTAATATACTTCTCATTCTCATTACTTTGGTCTTATTATTATTATTATTATTATTATTGTTGTTGTTGTTGTTGTTGTTGTTGTTTTTACTTTCTTCTTCTTCCAAAGCAGCAGTCTTAAATGTGAAGAAGACATGATGGAAACGAAAAGCATGTGCTGAGGCAATGAAATACCAGCCGTTCTTTCTGGGGGCTGTTGTCTCAAGATCTCCCTGGTGAGTTAAAGATACATGTACCTCTTCTTTTTTTTTTCTTTTTTTCAGGCTACACTGCTAGAAAGTATTTCAAACAGGCAATAGTTTTCACATCCTTTTGTACTAAAATTAAAATTTATTTCATGGACCACTTAATAAAGAATACTTTCAGTCAATTAGATCTTAATGAGAGAAAAGGACATTAGGAAGTTTGTGCCAAGAGGTGCTATATGAAAATAAATGACTGGTGTGAGCTACATTTTCCTTCTAATTAATACTCTTGATGAGTGGGTAGTGTCAAAGCAGTGGGAAATGTAAAGAATTCAGGAGCTCAATATGAATTCAATATTATTATCCAAGTAAGCATCTGACATAGCACTATATAACTGAAGCACTCTCCAGCTCTGCAGTGTAATAAACAAGACATGGAAAGATCTAAATAACACATAAACATTGCTGGCATAGCATTTATACTGTTTCTGAGGTGCAGAATTACTGCAAATTTTCCTAGGGATACCTTTGAATGCCTACCCCCCACTGGCCCACAGCACTGTCACATTTTGAACCCTTTTCTCTGAGAAGCCCTTTCTTCAAGAAGAAATATTCACAAAGTCTGTTCTGATCTTCTTTTAGGTCCTAAGATAAAGAAATAGTGATGGAGCACAAATAGGAACCACTGCTCACAGCATTCATGAGAGAGTGTCATGGTAGGGTAGCCTAACTTTTGTCTTCCACTCTAGAAAGAGAAAGAATGAACACGGCATAAAATACTGGTAGTTGTGCATTGTAGGCCAAATTTTCAGCTTTCCAGGTTGTCACCACACTCTTCATTGGCCTGAGTAAATTAATATTTCAAAGTTATCAAGTCTTCCTACACTCATTTTTAACTCTACCTGTAGAATAGCAAAACTGAAATGAAGAATTATTTTGTGATGGTATTGCAGTACCTCAGGAGCCCCAAACCAAGCTCAGATCCTGAATTTGACAGCCTCAAACTAGGATAGCTTTCTGTAACGAGATTCTGGTACAAGCTTCCTGTGACTTCTCCCCCAGTAATTGAGCATACCTGTGTTAGGCGTGCCATTGACTCCTGACTTAGAACCTTAGTGTATACTCAAAGTACAGGGAAGCTTTTTTTTTTTCTTGAAGTAAATACCTATTTTGTCAATTGCCTCCATGGCAGGTAGGTCAAACAACCCTCAGGATCTCTCTCTAGTTCAGTCAAAGTGTCCCAGCAGTATGAAGAGTACAAAGGAATTGCATCCAGCTTTTCTGCATCTTCAGGAATGCTTTTTTTGTGATGCTCACGTGCCTGCACACACCAGGACAAACACTCAGCTTTGGTGTCTGAGCTCACATCTTCCTTTTGCTGTATAAAAGTATGCTAGAATATTAAATTCAGATTGCACAGTGATTGCTTACAGTTATCTGTAAGCAGGCTCTAATGTTCTCAGACTCCAATATGTAGAGGGTAATTGCAGGACACCAGCTGTTACTATGTTAAGAAGCAGATTTCTTCAGTTTTTTCTATTTAAAACATCTGTTTATAGAACTCTTCACTTTGGAGATTATCAATTCCTTTTGAGTATATAAAATAATTATACCTGTCAGTTTCTATTTGATTTACTTGCAAATTTTTGAATGCTTTACTGTTTTCTCATTTTGAATCCCAGTAATAACCATAAACAAACATTTGCAGGGCTATGTAAGAAAAAATGTTGTGGTGTTGTTAGCCACTACTCTAATGATGCAGTGTTTCATCAAATTGAACATAGTGTGTCATGTTCAAAATTGTCCTGATTTCTTTGAAATCTCTGAATCTGAAGAGGTCTGAAAGAACAGCATGGCTTCTTTTATAACTATATCAAGCTGAATCAAGGCAATTTCTGTGAATAGAAATGAGTTGTTGGTGTTAATATCAGTGGAAACAAAATTTGCCTAGCTCTTTTCTACAACAGGGAGAAAACCTACTGTGTTTCTGCAGTTATTTGTTTATTCTCATTTATTGTTATGTCTACAGCAGTGTACATTTACCAGCAAAACATGCAAAGGCTCTAGGTCTGTGTGCAAACATCTGGTCATCTGTTTTAGTGAGATACCACACTGACAAAGGATGCTGTTTGGAGCTGTAGCAGCATGGGCACCTAAAATCTTAATTGCTTCCTCTAATGTAAGACACTTAACTGAGGGTATTAGATCCCAGACTCTGATGCTGCCCATGATGAATTGTAGGCATCTCCAAGAGTAATTCAGATTTTAGAGGGAGATCAATCACTCTGGGAAGGTACCTACCATGTTCCGATGCCTACAGAGAAAACTGAGGAAAAAGCTGCTTCAGGTAAAAAGATCCTAGAGTTTGATGCAACAGAACTAAGACTACATTGTTTTTATTACATGCCCTCTTTTAGCTAAATAACTTGTAGTATCATTATGTTGCACTGTGCTAAAAATATTTGTATATAAGGATTAAAAAAAAAAACAACAACAAAACCCACAGTACTTTTAATTTTAAGCTGTTGTACAGGGAAGTTTAAAGCAAGAAAATCTCAAGCAGAAAGAACAGCATGAAAGTAGCAATGAGAGAAATCGTGCAGTATCTTACCACAACAGCCTCCTATGTATTGGGAACAAAATAACAGCTGTCTTTGCATGTACAGATCTTAAACAAACCAACCAAAATGCAGAGAAAGGCGTAAGATTTCATGGGTCACAGTAACTGGATTTGTAGTACCCAGAAGTAGTGACACTTGCAGAAGGATGTGAAATGGGAGGACAAAACTTTCAGGGTACCAAAAAGAAATATTTTATTATAATTATTATTTTAGAAGTTTTGCATGAGATATATATAGAGAGAGACATATTTAAAAAATATTAAATGGACAAATGCCAACTTTTATTGTATTTGAGATATCAGAGTCACAAAAGGAAACATGGAATAAGCCTAATCTTGCGGCATTTACTTTTAAAAAAAAATTATAAATTTATACAATTCACCTTAAAACTTCAAGCTGATGCTAAATAACACTTGTAAGTATTCAGATGTGTACCGTTGACTAAGTATAAGATTAAGACTAGTTCCAGCCACATCTAGACTCCATCAGGAGTTTAGAAAACAAGAGAGTCTATTCTGAACTTCAGGACTCAATGGGAGGATTCTTTATTCGTTGTATTTCTTCCATTGGACATAAACAATTGTCCAAGCCTGAGACTAAGATTGAATTCAGCCACACCTAGGCTGCATCAGCAGTTTAGAAAGCAAGGGGGTCCCATCTGAACCTCAAAACTCAACGGGAGGGTCTCCCTTACCCTTTGTGACTTCAGTCTCTATGTTTGTCTTTAGCTCAGTTTTACCTAGATATTCCTTTGTGTGCTTCATCCATGTAATAAGTAATAGAGTGAACCTTGATATCAAATTCTGTTAAGTAATGCTTTTATAAATCATATTAAAACTGCTCTCGCTAGTACCTTTGATAGTCATTCTCCAAGTGACCCTATACCACTCATTTCATGACAAATCTGGATGCCAGTCAAACTCCCAACATTTCCATTTACTTAGTTATTACCCAGACTTTCTCAGTCATTTGTAAAAGTCTTATGACATTTAAACATACCTTCTTGGGCATGATCAGAATACTCCCCACCATATTAGTGCTAAGCAGCTACCTGATGAGGACATACACATATTCCTATGCATTTTCCACCTTCAGGATTTAGATCACTTGATGTCTTCAGACACAGATTTGAGGACCCTTTCTCTAGCAGAAGCAAGGCTTTCTCCTTCTCACTTGCTGCTATTCTATCTGATAATATCCTGGTCAGCACACCTTCTAAGGAAGTGCTGATCTTGGGTTTATTTCTCCCCTCTCTCTGAAAATACCTGAACCTTCTTCAAAGATGAGACTGTGAGCGTGGTGAGCGTGGTGAGACACTGGCACAGGTTGCCCAGAGAAGCTGTGTATGCCCCATCCCTGGAAGCGTTTCAAGGCCAGGTTGAATGGGGCTTGGAGCAACCTGGTCTAACTGAAGATGTTCCTGCCCATGGCAGGGGGTTGGGACTGGATGATCTTTAAGATCACCTCCAACCCAAACCATTGCGTGATTCTATGATGTGGTGGGTGCTGCTTGGGTCTCTTGTATATGCTCACTGTGATTACTCCGTGTTTCTGGGCTGAGGAGGAAGACAAAAGGGGAGAAAGTACCTTCAGCTTTTTTTCTAGGTCCACTTCTTGTGATTTAGGGGAGTGTCAGTTGGGAATTCCAGTACATTAAATAATGGTATTTAGTATTTAGAAAGTCACTCTTGTGCTTTGTGCTATGAACTCAGTTTAAAAAAAAAAAAATAAAAAAAGAGAGCGAGAGAAACCAATAAAACAACAAACCAAAAGAGACAGCAAAAGACACAGCCACCTCTTTCCAGCAAGAACATTAGCACTTCTGATCCTGAGAAGCAATAGTGACATTCCCCCTATAGCATTTCCTGCCAGCTTAGGTATTCTCTCTGCATGGCTCCTGTGCACTGTTCAGGCAGCCAACACCCCTAATGCAGGAGTGTGGATGCTACTAGGCAGCACACTTGCACACTTTAACATTCACCAAGGGAAATCTCACAGTTATCATACTAAATGTCTTTTAAAGAGACAGCTTTTACTAGTAACAAGCTTTTACTCTCCTTTTTATTGCAAGACACTTACATTTATCTACCAGTTGTCAGATAGTTTATAGTGGAAATAGGATGGACAAATGTCATGGTTTAACCCCAGCCAGACAACTTGTTCATTCACTCTCCCCCTCTTCTTGCCCCCCCCCCACCCCCCCAACTCCTGGAGGGACAGAGAGGAGAATCAGAAAGAATGCAACTCCCACAGGTTGAGATAAGAACAGTTTAGTAACTAAGGTATACCACAAATCACTACTGCTACCACCAATAATAAGAATGATAAAGGAAATAACAAGGGAAGAGAATACAACACCTCAGCACCAGGCAACCGATAACTCACCCCCCCAGCCCGACCAAGCACCAACCGATACCTCCTCCAACCCTGCTGTCCACCTAGCCCTTCTGGGTAACTCCCAGTTACATCCTGGGCATGACGTGCTGTGTCAGTTTGGTCAGTTTGGGTCAGGTGTCCTGTCTCTGCTTCCTCACAGCTTCCCTCCTCCCTGGCAGATGGCCAAACCAAAACATCATTGTTATCAGCTCTGTTCTCAGCCCGAAAGTCAAAACACAGCACTGCACCAGCTACCAAGAAAGAGAAAAATGACTGCTACTGCTGAACCCAGGACAACAAGTCACTGAGTTTTGGAGACATCAGGGGAAGACCACAGGATAATATAATCATCCTTTTGTTTGCACAGTACTTTTCTGTACAGGAGAAGAAAGAGGAACCTCACTTCACTCCAGGTAGGATTTCATCCCATGCTTTATGGGAGAGCTCAGGACAATAGCAACAGCATTTCACACCCTACCACAGCACTCCTTTTCATTACAAACCTGATAGATGGGTATTCATTCAATCTTTATTTTTTTATTGCCATCCTTTCTACTACCTGTTAACTACTCAAAATGACTCAATGCAAAGTGTCATTACTGTTACTGTTGTTCAGTTATCTTGCACAATTTTCCTACTTCTTTCCCTGGGCAAGCAGGAGGAATAGGAACATTTAAAACCAGACTCACTGGAGAATCTCCCCACTGCAGAGTGCTTCATGTACAGAGGAAGCTGAAGGCAGTACAAGGCTTTTTACTGATCCTGCTCACAGTGAAATTAGCCTATGGATTCTTAGGTGCTTAAATGTCTATTAAATGATTATTTGCATCTGGATTGACGCTGAGTGCTCTAGTAACAAAAAATTTTACACACTACCAAAGAACATTCAGACTAAATTCATTTCACAAGCAGTCACTTTCTCTATTTTTGTTCTGCCTTGCAGGTTACATTTTAGATACTCGATGCTAATACAATTCTATCCTATTGAAAACAAAGAAAAAAAGAAAAAAAGTCTACAGCAGTAAAATAATCTGCCAACAGTACCTTGTATTTTCACTGCAGTTCTTTAAAACTCAATTCAGTTGGGATTGGAGATGTCACTCTGTCCCACTTTCCCCTTTTATAGATTGGTCTCAGTTTGGAGGAAGTAGTCTGGGAAGAAAGAGGAGAAACTTGTTCTTGGCAACAGAGGACCAGCAAACCTCTGCAACAGCCTTGGATTGAAGCTAAAGCACAGTTTCCCAATAAGTCCCCTCACAAACTTTTATGCGTCTCAAATGTTTAACCTTTTTGGTCAGTGAACATAACTGGGTGCCAGGAGGGTGCATAAAAAATAGGTCAGATGATTCTCTCTCTGAATATGTCTATCCTTCCACTAAGTGTAAACGCAGCCTCTGCTGATTTCATGTCCCTGTCTGCAAACATTTTGTTTGTCCCTCCAGTCTCTATTACCAGTGCAGGACTGTGTTGTCATTAATCTGTATTCTTGTCACTGACAGTCCTTTGCAATCCCATCTTGGTGCAAACACTAGTCAAGTCCCAGCTGCATAGCAGAGTGAGATGGGGATGACAACCAGCCCTACCTTCTTGTGCAATGGATTCCCTGGAAACAGAACTTAGGTACACAGCCCAGGCAGAAGTTGCAGTGTGGTGCAAGTGTCCTTGCGTCCCTACAGGTCCCATCTCTAGATGACTCCTGAAGCCACCATCTTCTATAGCATTTCCTGATCTGCATTGTAGCTTGAGACAAACCCATTCCTAAAGGATCTACTTCTCTTCATGCACTGGGAAGAATGCAGCTACAGGTAGCTCATGTTGGGGAATGGTACTGCAGGATGTGGGACGAAGGAACAGTCTGAGGTGATACAAAGCTTCTTTTATGTCCCTATTTCAGTTGGGATGTTTTAGCAGGTCAAATATAAGAAACATCTGAGCTTTTACCAAAGAAGATGGATAATGGGTTCCAATAGCTCTAACTTCCATTTAAATGTCAGGTGGCTAATAAAATAATCCATCTAAAATAACTTCAACTGCATTATATACATAAGCAATGCAGAGAGGGAGGTACCTTTGGAAATATCCAGAGGGAGATCCTGTCCCAGTGAAGTGAACTTCCTAAACTTAGAAGATTCCTTCCATAAAATTTAAATAGGAGTTGTGGACTTAGCTAGGCAGATGGGACATTCTTCCAGCACCCTGAAATAATGTAGTCTCAGCAGCAGCATTATCCTTTCACACCTTTCTTCATCTTTCTTTCCTTGAAAATTTAGCAAGTGTATTGGATATCTGATTACAATAATTAATCTAAATATTGTAATTAATTATATACAATAATTAATCTAATCTGCAAGCACCTAGTTGTTTATTGAGTTCCTTGGTTTTGGAGCCTGTCACAAAACACTTTTTCTAAAGAGAGAAAATTATATGAAAGGCTTTTTTTGGATGGATCCAAAGCTGATTCAAGGTGAGAGCTCTACTATTCCTCTGTATATTTCCTGGTTAGGTTACTAATTGAACTAGTTGCAGTAGCTTAATTTCTTTCAAAGTCTGAAGTGTCTCCTCATCTAAATTTGCATAGCCAGAGGCTGAGACACAAAATCTCAATTAGTTTTGTTATGTATCCTTAGTCCATTCCGCAGATGACAATCCAGAGACCTCTTTTGTCTCTGCTCACATGCAAAGCCTTATTTTCTGATTAAAATTGGCCTGCTGCCTTAGAATAATATATCCCTGCACATTGCTGTTCAACAGGGTAGTTGAGAAACAGTTAAAGGTGGAGGTCTGGCCATTAATCTTCATACAATAAAATCATACCAAGATCCAAAATGAGCTGGAAATGCTATCGGAGCATTGTCATTTTAAAATATGGAGACGAACTAATCCCTAATGGGTTCTCAATGGAATTCTTTAGGGACAGATTTGGACTAGTTTCATTACATTACATTACATGAGTACATTACTCTGTGTCAGTCTCACAAATATATTATTGTAGGCTTTTTAAGCATGCTGATGATGATTACCATTTTCCTATAAAGTTCCTACAAATACAGTATTTCATGATGAACACAGTAGAATGACTTGCATAGGAAAGATTCTGAATAAAATGAATTCTCCTATGTAGTACTGTGGCTGTGGATAAAATCCACTGAAGGATGAGCAATGGCACAGCTCAGAAATAATGATTACATCAAAAGGATAGTACTTTGAGGTATATACCACAGGGAAATGGGTTATGTGTGTTAAGAATGTGTCATCATTTTAAGTATAACCTGATGCTTTAGGAATAAATCAGCATAATTCCCCTGATTTGTCATAACTAGAGCTTTGCTGTTCTACAACAGTTAAGAATTAGACCCACAGCACAGTAATATTAACTAATCATTTTCATGTATTTGCCTAAATGATTTTTCATAGAGAGTTTGCCAGCCCAACATTTGAACTAGCTTAGGAAACATATTATTGTATTTGGACACAACAGATCCATAAAGGCATCTGACTGTATAGGGCATGGGATACAATTGATCACACGTACTAGTGACTACAGTTTGCTTTCTCCAGGTTCTGATATTTTTTGCAAGTTTAGGGCTTATGTAGAAGATGATTGCCATAAGAATAAATATAGGTGTATTGTTAATGACAGATCTACTGAAAATTGATCAAACTTTCTGTAGTACAACTAGAAAAATCCTCTATTCGTTCCATGGAAACCCTTGCTTCTGGATGATAGTCTTTAATTTCTAGGTATTCTGAATTTTGGAGGTCAACAGCAAATTTTTATCCTTTTTTTTTAATGTATTTTTTATTATTAGGCCAAAAGAAAAAAATAAAGGAAAAATCAGAAGGAAATAGAAAAGATTAAAAAAACAGAAACAGCAATTGGCTGTGCAACAAGAAAGGCACCTAATGAAAAGAGCTTGTAATTTAGTAAAGGCAGTTTGTCCAGTTAATAAATAATATGAAATGTCAATTCTGAACCAGACTGTGCTCATTCACTTCAGCAACACTTCTAAGAACACAGAGTAATGCTTCCCTCTGTTCCATTTTCCAGAACCTGGCTTAGTAAGAGTCTTGTCTTCAGAGCATCCTTCCTGTGCAAGCAAACAAAAAAGACTAATTAGAATTTACTGGTTTGAAGAAATTTGTAGCTGAGTGATACTTCCTTTGCACACTGTGGCTGACTCCTCACAAAGCTCTTTGCCTTATCTCCTGCCTGTTTCATAGCATTTGAGCTTTACCACCAGCAAGACACATACAGCACATTTTGGAAATAATGAGATGAGCATTCTCTACTCTACTATTTCAAATGTTCAGTATAATTGCTGTTATTAAACCAGTTCCTTTGTGTTGCCTGAGAATGATGCTGTCCCCTGCTGAAAATAATGAAGAATGGAGTAAAGAATAGCTGAACACTTTGGAAGCCCCTCAAAAAAGATTTTGTTCAGTTAAAAACTCCTTTTTTTTAAATCCTTTTTATTTTGCTTTCTACATCATGTTTAGCTATACAATATACTTTTTCAAGGACATTATATACACTCAGCATCGACTTGGACCTTTTCAGATGCTGTAGATTTTAGCCACTTTTTTCTTCTTTTAAAGAAATTTTTGATCTTGGTTTTGCATATACATGACACATTAATATGCACATTAAAATTGAAGTGTTTTGAAGGTTTTCAAAGCAAAGAGATCTCCATTTTTATTTCCATACTACTTTTTTTCACAAGGAAAGACATGCATTTCTTGGCTGTTATTGAAGTCTTTATATTCAATAAAGAATTCAAACATCTTCAGAATTCTCTTGGTTTAAAGGGTATCTTAGAGTTTCAAGTTCTACCTTGAAAGATGAAAGTTGCTTTTCTGTCCTGTATTTCCAATGAATTCTGCAAGAGATTAGCTTGAAAATTGAAGATCTGGAAGAAATATCCAAATATCACGTATTGCAGTTCTGGTACATTTCCTCTGACACTCTATCAAACAGTACGCTGCTTTCAGTCTCATTTGGAAGAATCCAGTCGAACACTGCATAGAGAATTTGCTCGGTTCTTAACAGAATCATGCTCCACATCTAGCCCTCTTTCTGGAAAGGATGGCCTTCATGGATACACTCCTCTTTTTGCTGTGCTTCTGATGTTTTTTATTGTGGGAACCAAACATTGAATTGCTTCCAAACACAAGGTAAAACTCTTTTTTTTTTTCTTCCTAAAGGAATAGGTCATTTTTGGCAAGTTGGCAAAATAATTTTGACAAGAGGTTCTAGATTTACGGCACTAGAAACTATTACAGTCACTGGTGTCTAGTTAACAAAACTAAATAGATGTCTATCCAAACTCATTCAAAAAAAGTAATAGATCCTCCTCTAGTGGAAATGTGTGCCTCTCTCCAGCAACCTCAGACTCATCTATATTAGATACAAACTTCATTCAGGCTCTTCCAGTTGCATAAACAACTTTTTATTCCCAGTAATTTTTGTAATGTTCTTTTCTGATGCTGCTTTCCAGGTGAAATTTCCCCTTCTCTGTGCCACTCCTAATTTTGTAACATAAACCTCTTCATATAAAACATTAGAAAAGAAAAAAAAACCCCACACTTGCTGAAAATCAGTAATCACTGTTACTTTTGCACAGGGAGGACAAAACTGAGAAGACAGTGGGGTTTAAAGGTAGGATAATCTAAAAAGAAACAACTGAAGAAAGAAAAGTTAACTTTCATGACAAGACAACAGTAGTCAGCCTCCAGGATTCTTTCAGACTGTCTAACATTTGTTAGCTGAAAACTTCGTGCATACAAGGTTCTCCCTAAACTGCGCTCTCTTGGATAAGCATATGCTAATGCTACCCAGAGTTTTGCCAATAAACCTGACTATTATATTATGCATGTTTCCAAGCCAGCTAAGTATAGTCTCTGTACCTAGCTGTGGTCACACATAAGCCCAGACCTTTAATCTGAGCCCTTTGTTAGAAGTTCACATTTCCTCAGATCCGAAATCCAGTGCCTTGAAGAGAGACTGGCAAACATTTGCATGTTCTCACCATCACCCTTAGGTTATGCTCACAATCAGGATCTAAGTTAGTCTGATTAAAGAACCTCAATACTAGTAATGCAACGTCTTAATGTCAGTCATTTTACTATGAAACTACTAGAAAGTTGATCATCAAAACACAGATAATTTTATAGTCCAGGTTATTTAGACATGCCCAAACCAGGTAGAGAGATTTACAACAGAAGCTAAACTTGGTTCTTGCACCAGCTTTGCAATGAAGCCCTGGGGTGCTCTCACACCTAGTGGTGTGTTTTCCCATACCAATTCTGCATAGGTGTGCATGTATCAGATGGACATACAGTTTACCCTCCAAAACCGTTAACTCTTGTTCATTATGTTGGAAAACTGGGCCGTTTCACTTGTCTTGTTAATTTGGCCTTGATGCTTGCTAATTCTTTTTACTTAAAATCTTCTAATTTTATAGTTCTTTCTCTGCCAGCATCTTGTCATAAGTTAAAAACATTTTAAATTACTTATAAGGATGTAACTATTGCAAAATAACTCTTGTTTAGGATATTTAAAGGTTATAATGATCTCAGGACTGAGATGGTTATTGCAACTTGAAAAATAAATAAAAGTGCGAGATTAGGAGGAAGATGCAGATGTAGTGAGATTTTTTCCATTGCTATTTTGAGTCATTTTCACATGTGTCTATTATGTGGGTGCTCTAAAAGCTGAGAAAGAGCTCAGAACAAAACTTCCTCTTCATTATCACTAGGCTGTGAAGCAGAGTAGGAGTCATTAGGAAATGCAAGCCTTAACATTACTTCAAGTATGGTTTTCATAATAAGGATTGAGCAAGAGGGATAAAAAGTTCCTACAAAGAATGCAAGATGTATGTGTGTAAAAGGAGAAATAATTTCTGCAGCTACGTCTAGACTAGTGTTTATGTAGTCTTGTAAACTAATTTGCTATATTGCCACCTAATTCTACTTAACATTCACCTTGGAAAATTATGATCCATACATTTCCTAAAGCCATGTTTTTAAATCTTAAGGATGCATGGGATGCATAGAAGAAGCTCTCACAGAGCCTTGCTCCAAAGCACAGGTTTAAGCTGAGGACTCTGATCCCACCATAGTCAGCAGGCACCCATGCATCCTGTACATCCGTACAGCCGTGGATGTAACTAAGCACTTTGTGGAACTGGGACCCAACTGCCCTTTTCTCATTCAAGCTCCTATTACCTCTTTTTACAAAAAAGTGTACGGTCAAAAGGAGCGTGACCAGCAGGTCAAAAGAGGTCATTTTCCCCCTATACTCTGCTCTGGTGAAACCCCACCTGGAGTACTATGTTCAGCTCTGGG